GGGTGGAGAGGCCGGGGGCGGGGGGAAGCGATACAAAGTGAAGCCCTATTGCCAAACTTGCCCGGCGATTGCGGCGGCGGCGGCGGGAGGGACTGAGCTCTGCAGCTCCCCGCCGGGGAAGCGGGCGCCGGAGGAAGGACTCAGCCTAGAGCCCGGGTTTTGCAGCCGGGGCCGCCGCTCCGTGGGGCGGGGGCCGCCGACAGCCGGGCGGGAGCGAGCATTGTGTTGGCTTCTTTGCAAGAAAACCTCCCGCCACCCCCTCTCGCCACAGCCTCCGATCCAGCGCGACGCTGCTGCTCGGCCTCTTGCACCATAGAGGGGAAGCAGGTAAGGCTCGGGCGATTCCCGGGGGGGCTGCGCGGCCCCAGCTCTCGCACCCGCCCCCCGCGGCCGTCCCGGTCTCGAGCGGACCCGATCGGGCGCCCTGCATTAGGCGGGTGCGCGGAAAAGTGCGGGGAGCCGGAGCGTTGCAGCGCTCCCGGCGTACAAAAGGCTGGCGCTGGCGGCGGCGGCGGCGCTGGGCTGCTTCTCCCTCCCTGCAGCCGCTCCAGGGCTTCGCCTGCTCGGATCGCGCACGCAGGGGCCGGGGGAGGCGCGGGCGGGGGCCGACCCCCGCTTCCCCCGGAGTAAATACTATTTGGAAACAGTGGCAGAAAAGATCAAAGTGAGCGCCCTGGTCCCCCCTTGCCCCGCTCCCTTCCTGCCCCCCGCACGCTCTTTTGTTTCAATCCAGGAGAAATCCGGTGAATCACCTAATTAAAACCAAGACATGAATTAAGCATCCATTTTTGTGCTACAAATTGCCAGCTCTACGCTTGTCCCTCCCTTGGTCTCCATTAAAAAACACCAGAGACGTTGTTAAAAGGGGGGTTATTTTGCCTCTAGCTGCCAGCTCTGCTTTCTGTTTCACTGCCTCCTATCCCAGGACTGAAATTGCTTGGCTGTGTAATTACTGGAGGGAGCCTATTTAACTTAAAAGCTTTTTTTCCCCCAACTCTAAATGAAACTTGATGAGGGCCCGTCCTTAGTTATCAGGGGAGTCGCTTTCTGGTCAGTCCTCTTGATTCATCTCTTTTAGATTTAATCAGCATTAAGGTATTGCTTGTCCTTAAGAGCTTTAGCTTAATGGGGTTACTGGATGGTTTTCCTCAGTGTAACGTTTCCTTTTTTTATACCTATATATTTACCGTTCAACAAAGCCTGGGCTAAGGCAGCAGGGAGGCGGCTCGTGTTTTCTTTCTTGTTGGAAAGAAACCCGAAGTGATTTGAAAACGTTGGGGAACGGTTTAAAGAGGGGAAGCAGGAAATGCAGCTTCATTAGGGGTCTGGCTGGAAACAGGAACAAAAGGCAGTTCCTTGAACAAATGCATCAGAAATCAATTTACATAAAGGTATATGATGCGTTGGGAGAAATGCGAGGCTAATGGCTTTTAGAGTGGCTCTCTGTGCAAAGTCTCGGGGTTTTTGTTACAGCTTAATTGGTGCCGTTCTGCTTTATTGCGCGGTCAGTGGACAGACGTGCGGGGGTCGGGGCGTGCGCAAGTGTAACCCGGCCTCTTCCAGGACTCTCAACTTCTTGTTCCCCGCTCGGGCCAGGGCAGGGAAAAAGTTCGCCCTCTCCTCCCTGGAGGCCCGAGCCCGCCCGATGCCCCGGGACGAGCACACCCGGCTTCCAAAGGACAAAGACGAAACGTGCCGCTGAACTGGCAGGCAGTAACTTGCTCTCCTCGCAGCGCGAGTGACTCGAGCCGCCCGCGGAGTTTCTCGGCGCCCGGCTCGAAGGCCCCGCTGGCTGGGGCCGGAGGAGGCTCCGGCCGGATTGCTCCGCCTGCGGGACGAGGCGCTTGGCCGCGGCGGGGCTTCGAGCCCGAGCGGGAAACTTTTTACCCCCGAGGAACAAAGCAGGAGCGGCGGAGCCGCCGCCGGGGCGGACTCGCGGGCAGGGCGGAGCGGAGGAAGTGAGCGGCGCTGCGGTGCAGTCGGGCCCGGCGCGCTGCGGCG